TGTGGTTTTGGAAATAATACATAAATAAACAAAGACAGGAAAGCAGAGAATGCATTTAAATTGGTCGATTTATCAATCAGTTGCATGGAAAATTAAGTAAACAAAACTCGTGGTTGACGAAAAATATCAGCGGGTGTCGACAGAATGATGTTGTTCTGAGTTGCTGGATATTCTATTTATGGTTTTCACCCTTTTGAAATTTTTAAATGGATTAAGAGTTAAGAATTACAAGAAAGTTAAAATTTGTTGAATAACGGTTTACAAAAATTTAAATTTGTTCAAAATAATTTTCAAAATTCTTTTAACCGTTATATAAATTTTCCCAATTTTTGCTCCGAACCCAAAAAATTAATAACAAAATTCAGTGATTGATTTATGAGAACCAAAGTAGAATAAATAATAAAAATATTTTTCACCACTTGGACAAGTGTGCTTGTTGACATAAACACTTAATCTGTGCTCATATTAAAATGAGATATGTACATTCATAAATATATGTTGCAGCGTTAATTCATAAGCACACACATCGATGTGGACATTTGAATTTATTGCGTATATATTTTTAGAAACTACACGCAAGTATTCGGTGATTGACGTGTGACTGAAGGGCCTTCATTTCGTACACAATTCTTCACACATTTTTATGAGCTCCTTGGAAACTTTTCGAGTCTATAGCACAAGAAAATTGCAGAATGTCGACATGTCTCAATCGTAAAAGTTTTCAGTTTCCTCGTCGCATCTTCAGAATGTGAATGAATATCAAGAATTTTTCGTATTAATTGGAATTTTATGATATCAAATTTTATGACTTATCATAAACAGTTAACAGCCATAACAAGCATAACATTAATCTTACATAACAAAGTAAATTATTTAAATTCCCTTTTTTTACTCTCTGTCATTATTTTCAAATGGCGTGACTAATGTTCAATTGATTGTAAATATTTTATACTCTGAGAGAAATGCCAATTATTTGCTCATATAAAGCTCTTGCCTTTTGCTATCTTATAAACATTGAGACGACCTTCGCCTTTTAGTGCAAAAATTCAGCAGAATTTTGTGTTTTTTTCTGTTCATTATCTTCTTCTGCTTCATTATGCCTTTTACAACGACCTTTTCGGTATAGAAAGAGTGACTGCTTATTTTATATACAGTTTATACATCATAAATGCTTATAAGCAGACATAATAATGAGTAAGTTTAATGAAACTACTATGCATTCATAGAATAAGAAATGTGCCGACAATCAACAGCTGGATGAACTTTTTTTGTGCCAAAAATGAAAGTGTTTTTCAACAGAACTTTTTCTGATGTTCTTACTGTGAATTAGCATTGTTTTAGCTGAACTTAAAGGAAAACTGGGCATTTAATAGTTTTTGTTTATCCAAAAACAAATTGTCAAATCATCTTTTAAGCAAAAAAAGATTTGTACATGTTAATTCAATTAAGAAAGTCAAAAACTAAGGTTCGAAGACCACTTGATGTTTATTTTGGCATATTTTCAAGCTTCCTTTAATGTCCATTATCTATTTTTTTTCGCATACTTTTCTCTCGCTCTTCATATAAATTCAATTAGACTGATGGCGATCGCGAGAGACATTGAGGAATGTGCTTAAACATGCAACACGACACTGTTTATTTATCCAACGATTTGTCATCACGGCCTTTTTCTTTTGCTTCTTTTTACTTGCTTTTGTGAATCTCAAGATATGGATTTTTCAGAAAATTCTCTTTTACTTCTTTACAGCAGCAGTAATGGATGTAAAAAAATCTCAGTTAATGCCTTCAAATTCAATGTATGTTTACACAACTTATTTTTGTGTTATTTCCAATGCACATATATCTCTCATATTTAGAAGATGATGATATAAAATCGACAATGAAAACATCTGGAAATTAACTGGAGGATGGTTCCTATCTACGTACATGTCTCATGGCTTTCAACACTAAAGTAAATAATGAAATGAATCGACGAGATTCTTTTTCTCAGACGCAGCTCATGATTCGTGTTTTGTTTGTGCGAGTTTCATAAAAAAAGGTTAAAGCGATCACGTAAAGGGAATCTTCCTCTTTTTACAGTGAATTTATTTTGAATTTAGAGTTCAAGGGATGTAAACATGATTTTTTTTGGTATCTTTAAACAGTTTTTAATGTAAACTGAAATAACGGTGAAACAGTATTTGAAAAATAACGTTCAAAAAATATTTGAATAACTATGTTCATAAGTTTAAATTTTCAATGGCAGTTAAATAACGAATTTTAAAATTTCGAAACTTCATTTTTACGAACTCACATTTTTACGACCATATCATTTTTACGAAAAATTATTTTTTCGACTTTTTTATAAATTTTAAATTCTAAAATGTCGTTAATTTCATCACGTGTTCTCTTCAATAATAAATCTTCAAAAAAAAGATTAATAGAACAAATGTTTTTAAATGTATGGAATTAAAACGTATTTTTTATTCGTTACAATTACAATTAAATAGCCTTTAATCTTTCAACTCGTGGCACGGATTTTCGACGGTTCAGGATTGATTTAATGGAATTCTCTGTCTTTTAAAAACCTGGCATTCTATACTTTTGTGGCTTTCCAGCCAAATATTTGTCGATATCCATTTCGATGGACACAAATTCTTTCCATTGAAACATTAAAGGCTATTGCAGTAGTCAAAAATGATTTAAGAGCTTAATTGTGTTTATTGTTCCTTTTAACATACACATATAGTCCATAAAATGTGATATTGAAAAAAAAATACGTTTTAATTCCATACATTTAAAAACATTTGTTCTATTAATCTTTTTTTTGCAGATTTATTATTGAAGAGAACACGTGATGAAATTAACGACATTTCAAAATTTAAAATTTATAAAGAAAGTCGAAAAAATAATTTTTCGTAAAAATGATATGATCGTAAAAATGAAGTGTTCGTAAAAATGAAGTTTCGAAATTTTAAAATTCGTTATTTTAATAGGCACTCGTTTAAATTTTCAATGGGCATTTAAATCGGCTTTTTCCTTTGACAAAAGTACAATAATAAATAATAATAATAATAATAATAATAATAATGGCAGTTAAGTTTTAACAAATTAATAACAATTGATAACAACAAGTTCCCATCCCCTTTCCCCATCCACAAAACAGAAACAGCTAGACGCTAAACGTGATAGATAAAAATAAGTATCATGAAGATGATGACATAAAAGATTCCCATTGAAGCTATTTTCCTCCTCTTCAGAAGTGCATTCATTGAGTATTAAAAAAATTAAGTAACAACAAACAAGAAACAGCAGCTTATAAAATCAAGAGCATATTACAAAGAATTTCGTTTGTGTTTAATAAATAGTAAGGTATATGTGTGAATTATATTTATCATTTCTTTTTATGGCTTCTTTCCTATCTTTTCGAGTGTTTTTGATGCACTTCCTTTGGGATTTTTGTATGGTTTTAGAGTGACTGACTTTTCGAGTGATTCAACTTTTGGGGTTATTTTTTGCATTATTATTATTATTATTATTATTTTCGCATATCCTGAACATTTGCTAATTTTGGTTTTTAATGTGAAATGGATGAGCTGAAAAAATTCAAAGCTAGTACTTTTTCAAACATTAATAAGCAGTTTGACTTGGAATGTTATCCAGAACTGTCCAAGAAATCTTTGAGTGCTCTGATAGCGTCTGTCTAAGTTCATGTGTCGCTCGGAAAATGCCCCAAAATATTAAACAACTTTACTGCCTTAAAATCACAAGAATTTCGATTGTTTAAAGAAAAAGAGAAGATTTAAACTGACAGAAGGCATTAGACAAATAAATATTTGAATAACTTTGATATTGATAGGAATCTTAATCTCATTTTTATTGCTGCTGAAAAAAATTCTCGAATTTCTCAATAAAAATTTCGCGATTCTTTTCCTTTCATGTTTTTTTATGCTGACCATGAACCGCAAATATATTACCCGTTTGAAATCATCATTGTCTAAAAAAATGTTTGCTGGATGTGATTGGAATTTTTAATTTATGTTCCTGCACATATTTTTATGAGTTTTCAAAATTTAATTTTATAACGGTTTGAAGTCAGTCGAGATAGGCAAATCCGGTCATGATTTTTGCACCTTGACAGTGAGGCACAAAATTACCTGATTGTTTAATTTTCTTAGAAACATAAAATAAAATCAATTCGTAAACACAATCTTTAAAACTGTATGAATTGAAATGACGTAATGTAAATAAAAAGTTGTTAATAGCACGCACGCAGAACTCAGGCAAATATTGACCAACAAAAGGCTTTCTTCTTCTTCTTGCCGAGTTCATTTAGTCGTTAACTTGAAGACACGATATTCAATTGGTAAGCAGAAATGCAACATGAATACTAATTGACTAATGTTGTTCAATTCTTAAGGTTGTGTGTGGATTGTCGCTTTTTTTGGGTATGAATTGGATTGAAAATTTTGTAAAGAACTTTATTTTGGGGATTATTGAATTTATGTGGTTTTAAATTTTGAGATTTGGATCATGAAACTTGTTATTTACGAACAAAATATTATTCAAGCTTGAAGCTGCGGAGAATTATGAATTTCATCTTTAATGGTTTTTAAGCATTTGAATTTCAAAGTTGCTTCCCCTGATTTGTTCTTTCAGACCCTTTTTATCCAATACAGTAAATTCTCGTGCTAAACTGCTCTACAAATTCTATTCATCACTCAAATAGTCAACAATAAATTCCATCAAATAATAGAAATCATCTTTAAATTGAAATGTGTACATAAACTTAAATTGACACTGATTTAAATTAATTTAAAAGATTCAAAAAGATTAAAAATAGGAAAGTCTTAGGGTTGATGACTGAATGTAGAATTGTATATTATGAGTGTATTTGTATTCAATATGAATATAATGTTAATTATCTTGTTAGTAAAAAAATCTGTAAATCTATAAGGACAGACAGAGTTTAAAGTCTGCTGCTACCATTGTAGGCGTTTTTATGTGCTTTATTTACTCACCATTCGAATCAAAATGTATAATCTGACAGCGATTATCATCTGAGATGTCACATCGATATACAGCACCAGCATTATACACACCGTGTTGGAATTTTGAGGTATCTGCTTTTGGTGCGCCGATAATCACCCTGCAAAAAAATATAAGAACATGAATAAGAAGTTTTAAGTAAGAAATACGACATGAGATAATTGAAGAACATTAAATTGTGATTACAATCATCTTAACACAATCGCGCCAGTATTGTAATTTTCATTGTGGTGCGATAATTGGATGCCAATCGTCAATTTTGTAAAACGAAGTTTTAACTACATTATATTTTTTACAAGAAATTATGTTCATGTGCAATTTTACACAAGTTGAGGTAGGAATTTACTTTATAATAGCTAACTTGGTTAATAGATCGACAGTTCATAAATAAATCAAAATGTTTACCGATTGACGACAAATTCGGTTTGGCATGCATCAGTTTTTTTAAATTCAAAAGTTTTAAAAAACTGTTAAAACCTTAAGTTCTTAATTTTGATTATTGTGTCAAAAAAACTGCGCTCAAGGCACAGCTTACAATCTCATTTCATCAATATCTTAACATGCAGCATCAATTTAGTGAGAAAAGGAGAAACAAGAAATGAAAATTAAGACATTTTCACGCATTTCATCGTATGAATATTCCCAAATGCCCTGAGGATTTAGAATCCAGCAATGGGCTCGTGGCAATCAAAAAGTTGATGTCGAAATAATTCAATGAAGGTAATCATCACGAACAAAAGAGAGAATTACTTTATTGAATGGAATTAATAAGCTTGTCTCATTAGGTTTCTCACATGCACACCCTACGAAGATAATATATTACTTAATGGAGCATGTTGTGGTTAATGAAACTCGCTTATTCGACTTATCTGATTCATCATCATTACAAAATTGACTGCAGATTATTCCATCATAAAACAAAGTTTGAATATTAAAATCTCAGCAACCAGTTTTTTCAATAAAAATACTTAATCTCTTATTTGCTGTCGATTAAATTGTATGTAAATTAATGTAAGTAGTACTGATCGTAAAAAATCAGTAATAACTATGCTTTTTGATAAATTATATGTCTCTTAATTTATGATTATGAATAAATAAGCTGAAAATGATTTTTTTATGTTACGCAATTTTCTTCTTATTTAATCATATTCAAGATTATTGTGAGAAGCAATTGACTTACATTTTATCGCACAGAAACTTAATTTATTTTGTTCTAGAACTTGAGTTTTTGACGGGAAACGTGTAAGTGAGACACAATTGTGTATATTTTGATTTGCATTGATTACTTTGATTTTTTTTTTCATTATTTTATTAATATTTTTCACATCATTTTGTAAACAAAGCATTTTTTTGTTTTTGTTTACATCTTCGATTCAATATTTTAGTTTACATATTTGATAATAATTTGATGTTTATTTGCATTTTAATTGGCTTTAAATTATTAATTGTATGTGAGCAAAGTAAATAACATCTTGAATTCAATGGAAATTTGTCTGGAAAGTTGTAATCTGAAGATTTTCATTTAAATAACCAAAAAATGGTGGGAAATTTTCATATCAACATTAAATTATGCAAACTCATTGAACTCAAGCATGCTTAACTGTTTTGATCTGTAATTTTCTAATTCTCAATCATCTCATGATCTCTCGTTTGTTAGAATTCCAAACATATCTTTTGAAGCTTTGTCATTGCGTGTAATGGAAGAACAAAAGTAAGTAATTGCATTCCTAAACATCCAAGATCTGGTAATGCTAGGGTACATTAACATTTAAATATGTACATAATAAAGTCATTTTGTAACTCTTTAAAGAAAAGTATTGAGATAAATCTGAATAAAATTGAAAAGAATGAGAGATAAAAGAAATGCAATTAAATTTTATAGGATTATTCTTTACACGCAATGAATTCATTTAAAAGATATCTGAGCAATATGTAAAAGTATTTAAAATGCTACGATGCAGCTTAGTACGTGAAGTGTTAAGAACAATTGGAAATTATTTCTTCATTCAATTCGAGAAATGATGGAAGATTAAATAGCTTAAACTCATATTAGCTGTGATTTTTATGTGATTCTTAACAATCGAAACTATTGAGGATGATCGTAACTGCGACTATTTTATGTTCTATTAATTTAAACAAGAAGCAGCTGGATAGTTTAACGTAAATTTAGAATTTTCCTTAAGTAACCAAAATGTTCCATATAATCTTCCTTCGACGTCGATGTAAGATCAAATGTATCATCATTTATTATATGTAAAATGTTTGTTTTACAAATATGTAGAAAAACCGGTAAAAATTTCAAAATTTGAATTTGAGAAAACCGTTTAATTAGTTTACATACTTAATTGAGCACCAACAACTTATTTCACTCCTGCATGTGATATCGTAAGTATAAAAATTAACAAATCATAAAATATTAGCTGCTTTCAATACAAATTAATAAATAACCCTCTTTAGCACTCAACTAATAACAACATTAATCGTATCTAATCAATTATAAGCTCACAACTGCATACAGTCAATGGGTAAGAAAGTCAGCATGAAGAAAAATTTTCCAGATTTTTCTTTTTATTTCCTTTACACTGTAATTGTTGTTTATTGATGCTCGGCACCCATTCATCCATTATTCCAACATTTGCTTGTTATATGTTTGCTCTCAGATGGAGTCAATTGAAAAGCAATAAAAATCCAGCAATAAAATAAATTATGATGCATTTCTCACAACAAATTCTTCTCAATGCTTATTCCAAAAAAGATTTATGTATGCAACATTTTTTGCGGTTATGTGTCAAACAATAATATCGATGTGCGATATAAATTGGCAAACAATTTCCAATAAATCTTCTTCCCATTTCTGCTTTCATTTTAAATTTTTTGCTCATTAATATTATGCTCTCACTCGCTTGGTGCTTGTAAGTTGAGTTCAATGCAATAATCATAAATCGAAGGAGTTTTTTTTTGTTTTTATCCAGCATGTAGAGCTTAAGCTTAAAATTAATTGAACATGATGCATATTGAAAGATAAAGTGCTACTGCAATTTCCACAATAAGGTTGATTTTACGTACAAAAAGTGTTGTAGATCAGGGTGCGGTTGCAGGAAAGGGACTATAGACAATAAGTTATTGAACTTTTCCCGCCATTTTTCAATGTTTGTTTACAAACGATTTAAAATTGCACAAATTTAAAATTCATAAGAAAATGTTGTTTTCAAAGTAAAGTAGAATAATATTGTGATGAAAATAGCTTTGCTCACAAAAGAACAACATTTTAAAACCATTTAATTGAATTATCTAGCTAAAATGAGCTGAATTTTGATTAAAATATTCTTCAGGTGAGTAAAATTCAATTGGAAGTATTCGAATTTTGAAATTTAATCTTTAAATCAACTGAACTTAATTATTTACATTACCAGTTGCAATTCCCTGCACTACAGCCTTCATCTGTCAGACTGCAACATTTTTTTTCTTTACATTTCAGTTATCGAAATGTTTACATTAAAAAGTTGAAAAAAAGGAAAATTAATTAATTATTGAATGATGGGAGGCTATAAATATTAATTGTAATTAACTTAATTATCCTTCTTTAATTTAATAGCTTTTAATTTTTGACTTTACCGAAAAATTCATCTTTTTTATTTGCAGGTCTGTTAATATTTATTGGATAAGCTGTAATTGCTTGATATTAAAGTTTTCTCCACCTTTTTGCTGTTTGCTTAAGTTTAATGCAGACAAATTGTGTCAAAAACTTCCATTTAACCCAAATAAATCTGTTTATCAAAGTATTTTCAGGATATCTAGTCCTTATTCCATCTTTTCGTTCATCACTAATTTCATTTCAAGGTTAAACAGCCGTGCGACCGAGTAAACATTTGCACAACATGCTGGTTGATATTCGATACGTTAAAATGCTAATAATAAAATATTCTATAAAAATGTGACTTGAGGCACATGCTAATTGTTAAATTCAATAAAAGGGAATTAGAAACAACTGATACTCAATGCGAATGAGATGTAGTTTCATAAAATATGAGTGAGATTGACGGTTTTGGAATTTTTTAATTGAAAAAGAGATGAGGAGATTGAGAATTGGATCTGAGAGGAAAATATTTTATGGATGATGGGATATTTATATATTTGCCGGTTATTAATTGAAAAGATTAATTTGAACTTTTTATATTCAGTAGTAAAATATTGATATGAATTTTTTACATTTATTTCAAGGATATTTATGCAATAAAACAGTTCTAACCCAATTTTTGCCATATCTACAGTTTAAAAATTGATTAAAAACAAAAAAGCTAGTAAAATTTCAAACTTTGAAAAAAAAGTTTAGATTTTAAAATTATTAAAGCCGTTAAAAAATTCAAAAGTTCAAAATGCGTTAAAAATTCACAAAATTTCAAATCTCAAAATTTTACTTCAACATTTTTTATCTTAATAATTTTGACCTTAACTCGACTATTAATAGAAATCATGAACAGAAGGGAGTTCACATTCTACATGAAGAATGAGAAATCTCAAGAGCTTTATGATCATAAAATTGTCTGTCTATGGATTCACCACACAAATAAAGTCAAAATAAAAAATTATACTGAAATTTATTTACATAAGACGACTATAAAATGCTAGTTAAAGATTTTTATTACAACACAAGAAAAATATTTCCGTGGGTGATTGACTCTTTCACATGCAAATTTTCAATTTTCATCAATACAGACGAGCACCACACATCTTTAAACCAATAATCCATTCATGATGATTAAAATATTTAAATGAAGAATTCAACACTATAAGAAGCTAAAAAATTATGGATAAATAATAATATATGCACTCATATTTTAAAATCTATGAGTTCAACCGCATTACGTTAATGAAAATCGTATGATAGCGGCTGAATGTTTCGATAGTGATATATGTAAGTATCTTAAAACAGTGACTCAAGGTCATATCTCAATTAATAAATATTTTCGAATTTGATTCCTCGACTATGTAAGGCTGTGAGTCTATTTTTAATTTCAACTTTTAATTGCCATAAATATTGTAATTTAGTCGTACAGATGTCGATAGATATGAGTGCACTAGTACTCATACTTTAGTAAT